TTTTAGATATTACGGATAACGGTCTTTCGCAGCACCAGGCCGCTCAGAAATGGGAATACCCCAGAGGACTGTTTCCAGCAGAATGCGAGGTCAGTCGGCATTGGCTGACCAGAGCCAGCCTCAACAACACTTATCCAGAGATCAGGAGGCCATATTAGTCGCCTGGATACTTCGTCAAGAGCCTGTGGGTTATGTTCCGTCTCAGAGTCAGATCCGCGCTTGCGTCACAGCTGTTTTGAAACAAGAAGGCCGTGAGTCGTATTTGGGAGTTCACTGGGTGGTCAAGTTCATTAGATGCCATCCAGAGCTCAAGAATAAGATTGGAAGACGTCAAGAAGCCAACAGATTCAACTCATTTACCCCTAAAGCGGTGCATTGGTACTTTGACATCAGGGAGAAAGAGTACGGGTGGATCAAGCCAGAGAACACCGTAAATGTTGATGAAGGGGGAATTACGTCGGGCTTTGGTATGTAATCAACTCTCCATAAGCGATATAAGCTAATCCGATTTCTTTGTTAGGTCTAGACAGTCTGGAAGATGGAAGTTCAGACCCTAAACGGAAGGCTCTTCTCAAGGGGCCCCAGTCCCGCGGCTGGACCTCTTTTACAGAGGCTATCACCGCAGATGGGCGCGCCTTGACTCCCGGATTATATTTAAGAGCAAAGAGCTGCAGAAACAATGGTTTAAGGAAGAATTTCGCATGTTTGCGGACTGGCACTACATAACTTCGCCCAACGGGTGGACGGACAACCACATCGCTGTTGAATGGCTTGAGGAGGTCTATTTGCCCCAAACACGGCCTTCTGACGAGTCTGAGGCTAGGCTTATCATTTTGGATGGACATAGAAGTCATGCAACGGTGCATCGTTTCCGTATATGGCAATGGAGTCCCATTAATTTGACGACAGAACAATTGGATGGCTACGTGCTTCTTGAACAATATCTATTGTTGTTACCTTCCATCTCACTGTTCTCATGGCCTCCAGCCGCTAGACAACGGTGCTTTCAATGCCATAAAGGCAGCCCATCGGAAGGAGCTTGACAGACTGGCTCTTTGACGGATTCTGCGCCAGTTGATAAGGTCAACTTTATACGTGCGTACGCGAGAGCCTGTGAGATGGGAATGACTCAGAAGAACATATTGTCTGGCTGGAGAGTAACCGGGAATTGGCCAATCTCACGAGTGAAGGCGCTGCGGCACCCTGAAATCCAACAGGACAGGGTCAAGGCTTCTCCAGAATATTTGGGGTCAGACGATCCGCCGAAAACAAGCCCCCATATTCGTGACCTTGGCAAGAGCAAAACACCTGCGATCTGGAGACGGTATACTAAGATAGGTAAAGGCTGGGAAACGCAGGAACAGACACTAGCAGAGAATAACAGCAAAATAGCCAAGCTCGAGGAAGAAGTGGACAGGTTAAAGAGGGGAAGGAAGAGAAGGGCAATTCAGAACCCCGACAGACGTTTCATGGATCTCGCTGAAGCTTTGGCGGTCGGAGAAGCCATTCCCGAATTTTGGAGTCCAAAAAAGTCTGTTGTGGTGGATTGTGACCTGTTGGAGACGGGGTCGGAGTCGGAGTCGGAGGCAGCTTCAGGGACTGAAGTGAGAGTACTTGAACCTCCTCCGCGCACTACCCAATCAGGTCGCATGGTCAAAAGACCAAGAATCGGATGAAGAATTCAATTCTCTATCACATGATATAATTATTATGAGTGTATCTTTATTTTGTAATTAGAATTCATGCGGTTCAAAGATCAGATTTTTGGTGAGGCAAGTGTAATTTGTTTGAGCATAAGGGGGTGTGAGCGAAAGGGGTGTCAGATGGTAGTACACGGCAACACCTTCGTCCTGCTATGAGAGAGCAGCTAAAAGTCATAGCCAGTGTCTCGCCAGCCCCGACCTGCACCACACACACCGATAGATTAAATCTATCCCTGTGGAATAACTACAGTAAAGACACCGTATCTAAGTCGACGTCACCATCACTCTCTAAGTCTTCCAGAATCCTACGCACCATAGTTTGTTTGGACGCATATCATGGTCAATTTCCAACAACTTTCTAAACCGAACGGTGGCGTCCTTTCTCTCTGCAGGTGCTTTTTAGAACAATGGCTGCTGTACTTCCTGCCAGAGAAGTACCCCTCGGTCTGGTAGGCATTGCTCTGGTGCAAATAGATACAAGCTACCAAAATATCGCCTCGGTCCCCATTGCCTTACATGTAGTCCGCAAGCCTGTAGGGGGAGCAATCACCACAGTGAAGACGCAAAGTTACATCGTCCGCCCAGGCCAAAGGGTGGTTCTCTGCGTATCTATCTCCTGCGAGTGATACCTTGTTCTGTCCAACTGGCGCCGCATTGTTCAGGCAGGCGTCTACTGTGCCACATGTGTTTTATGACGAAACAGGCGCACCATATAATTTTGGAAGAATCCGATGTAGCAGTGGCCGTGGCGATGTCAGGCAAGTCCAAACAATTCCGACATTCACCTCGATGACTGACCAGAAGGCCCTGGCCCACTGGCCACAACTCGGATTGTCCGAGCTAGCCAAATACACCAGCGAGCGGAGTCGAAGTATGACACCACAGCGAGACTGAAGACAAACCGATACAGCTAACTTTGTAACAAGAGAAGGTTGTGGGGTCCGAGAGGTTCAAGCAGCTCACAATGCTCCGAGTACGGTGAACCGCGAAGACTTATACCAGTTCCACCTGGTCCAAGAGCGGTCGATCCTCCTCCCCAGCACGGCCGTCTCGTGGGACTTGGACAACTCGTTCAGGGCCGATCAACGCCACCAGCACGACAAGTCGCACGTGCTGTGGAAGAAGTTAAAGACGGTCGTCATGCTGGACGAGCAAGTGCGCGCCGCGGGCGATCCGTAGCTGCAGAGGCTACTGAAGCGAATCCCACGGGGCGTGTGGGACCGCACGGATCTGGACCTCTTCAACTCAATGTGCTACCACGAGGGTGAGCAAATCCCGTGGGAATTAGGCACTACCGTGGTGACGCCGCCGAACGGGAGCTGGTGGAACCTCAACATGGAGGCCAGCTTGGCGATTAGACTCAGCAGCGGTCGATGATGCGCACCTCCATGTCCTAGCATGTGTGAGAAGAGGGTTTGCCGACGGAGGACGAGGCAGTCATGATCCTCAACCAGGACAATGATAGCACAATGCCGGTGCCGGCCGTCTTCATGTTCGTGCCCAGGATGCCGGTCGTCGTGAACCATAATAACACCCATCAGGGGCTGAAGCTGGTAAACGGTGCCAGTTACACAGCGCTGGAGGTCATCCTTGACAAGTTGGACCTATGGCATCGGATCTCGGCAGACATGGTAGTAAATTTCGGACCGCCGGCGGGGATAATTCTGGAGTCGAAGATAACGAGAGATGCTCACTTCGTCGGCATGCCGCCAGGCACAATCAGCTCTCAGTGGCACTCAAGTGTCGTCCAGCGGAGCCAAAGCCCCGAAAGAGCATCATCCTCCCTTTCTGTCATTCGCAGAACGGAAGCGAGGCTGTACAGCGCATGACACGTGGGGCCATGTTCAAAAACCCCGTCTTAGCGAGCCAGAACGTGATGAAGAGAGAACATGGTACTGGAATTGCCGCTATTGCGAGAATCCTACTTACAAGGCTCTTTGCAGAACCTTGGCCGGAGACATCTGGAAATAATCCACGGCATCCGGATCGAAGCAGCGTATCCAGAAATAAAGAAGAAGAGCGCGGTTCATATCCGTCAAATATTCGAAAAGCAAGCTGTCCAGGCGAAACAGGTCCAGGACCGGCATGGCCACGAGGTCTTAAAGAGCGTGCTCCATAAAGGCGCCATCTCCGAAGCTCTTGCCCGACTCATCACGATGAGGAATTTGTCTGACCGTTGCGCTGAATGGCCCGAGCTACATGCTTTATTGAAACTCATTAATCCTGCTATCGGGAGCGAGGCGGCCTGTTCTCATTCAGAGGTCACTAAAATCATCACAAGGACATATAACAGCACAAAAAAGCTCTTCGAGGAAAGCTTCCGCGGGCTTAATCCAAGATCCATCTCTCCGTTGATGGTTGGAGCTCTCAAAGCGAACCCTGGTGGAAGTAGGGGAGGCAGAATCAGGTCGGACTCTGTCCGGGCATTTGTCCTTGTCCGCTGACGGACGCTTTTTGGCAGTCACTAATTTGCGTTGTCCGGTCAGTGCCTGCTTGTTTTTCTTATGGGGCTTCCTGTCAAGCTACATTGTCAATGAGCAGACATCTCAATAAATAAATAAATACATAATTTTGGCATATTGTTATGTATTGTTTACGGATTCTTCATATTGTTATGTATTCTTAAGCTTATCAATAATTATTAATATAAGACGGAAGGGTCAGCCACATCTCCGTCGCCGCTGCTCACATCCATGATCTCATCATCAACCGCAACGTACAGCTTGCGAATCAAGTCATTCTTTACCCAATTACTCAAGCATTGCAGTTTCTCGATTCTGTCTGCCGAAAGTCGAGCTCTATCCCAAGAGATAGTACGCCTTGCCCAAGAAAACACTCGCTCTGGGTCGTCCGACATCGCTGGTACGCTAAGTATGTCAATAGCCATCTGGTGTAAGCGTGGGTACTCGACTCTCTGCTCCTCCCTACACCACCACTCGAGCGGATTGTCGGTCATCATATGTCTCGGGGGGAGAATTAATGAACTTGTCCAATTCATCCTCATCGCCCGGCTCGTCCAGAACACTCATTGACTGCTTGATGCGCTCATAAGAGGTCACCTCCCGCCTTTCGCAAATGGATCGAACGGCTATTTCCGACGAAATTGGCCTGTCCTTGTACTTCGCCCATTGTCTTTGTGCGGCGGCGATAGCTGTCTGTTGCCACTACACTGCCCAATGACGGTCAAGATACCTCCGCCGTTTGTCCGGATGAAGCAGCAGTGCCGTGGCATATACGGGACTTTGTCTGTTTCTTCGTAATATTTCGAGAAAATCCACCAGCCCATGTGAATGGAGTTCACCATGTGGGCGTTATCGGCGTATTTGACCTACGTCGGAATTTTAGCTTGGGTTCTTCAACAGTTCAACTCGACGGCGATGCCGCCCACGATTGATGACCAACCTTTGCATTTTCAAATTGCATAAAAGAATGTCCATGTTTTCCAGCACCTGATCTATTGACGCCCACTGCATTTGCTGCTCCAGAGTGGCCTGGTGAAACGGCTGTAAGAGCTCATGGGTCATCTTCAGTACTTGCCAACCATCGTGAGTCAGGATGTCGTCCTCTAGCTCTCTGTGGTACTGATTAACGAACACCGACAACGGACCCTCTTGGCTGATAGCTGCATCAAGCAATTTGAACCACGAGTTCCAGCGTGTAATGTTGTCGATACCAAGCGCCCTTCCGGCAATGTCATCCCACGCATCGTTGTGAATTGTAGAGTTGCGGATGAATACAGCGATATTGTGGAGTTTTCCCATTGGGCCGATGCTCCGCCAGCCGGCAGTGTCATTTCGTCTCCTGCGCCTGCCATGACGTCCTGACGCAGGCTCCAGTTGAATATGGTCGTGCAAGGCGCCCGCGACAGTGACCTGATTCGATTCATCTTGCGCCTGTTCAATGGCGGCCCTAAGGGCGCTCTCGCTGGTCGCAATGAGAAAGGCTTGGAGGGAGAGGCTAATGATGTGGCCGGCGCAACGCGTTCGAGAAGATATTGGATCGAATGCCAAACCGTACTCTCGCAACAAATCAACGGCAAGTTGGCGGAGGCAAGTATCGTTTTTTGCATCGTTGTCCCCGGTGAAGTAGCCGATTTTTTGTGCTAAGCTGTATCTTCGGATGATTCTCATCAGGTGCGGCGTCATAGCTGCGCCTGCGTGAGATCGGCGAAGATTTGGCAGCCCGAGTAATGCCTTGCGGGGCTTGTATGCCTCGTCGACCCATTGCGCGTGAACAGCGATGTATGCCCTGCGCTAGGGAGAAGACCATACATCCATAGCGATGTGCACAAGACTCCGAGCGCCTTCTAGCCACCTGCACACGGATCGTTGATGCGCATTGTAGGCCCTGTCTAGATCCGAAGCAACCGTATTGCCAGAGTCAATCAAGAACTCTTCGACTGCAGGGTTGATAGCGGTCAAAAGTGCCTGATATTCTGGCCATGTCGCGCAGCTCAGAGGCAGATGCCTATTCGCGGAAAGTAGCATCTGTGCCTCTCGGAAGGCATCGACATTGATCACACTCCGCAGAGTGTTGATCTCGTTCTCTCGAGTCGGCCCTAGCTGTTTTTCGCTTGTTCTCGCAAAGGCATTCTCGATGGCCAGTTGACGCTTGCAGCGAGCATTCGTGTCTTCTCTGACGTGTACGTGATGGACCTTCTCAAGATGATAGCGGGCATTGCCAGAAATGTGGGTTGACCACGATGGATTGCGACAACGTCAACAGTAGTGGAGCAAATTGCCACCTGCCGTACGTGGCTCATCGCCTCGAGCTTGCCGAAAGTGATGCCAAGTCGATGTCGCTCTCAACTTTCCTCCTCTTGACTGCTGCCAGAGATGAATATTCTTCAGGTTCTGACGGTATACTGTCAGATTGTGAGACACTCTCGGAGGGCAAAACTGATGCAGGGCTTGACGCTTCATTAGGGCCTCAACATTTGGCCAGTTATAAAGATCTTCCCAAGACGTAAAGAAACGCCACCCATTGTTCTTATCCATGCACGCGAAGCAGTCTGCAACTGCCTTGCGGTATGGAGAATTGCTTGCACATAGTGAGGCCCTACATGTTTCGTTCTGTAGGTTCCACTCAAACCACGGAGCGGTACATTCGTCGCGGCAACCCGCCTGGTTCATGGGATCGCACGAGGCCCTCGTCGCCCAGATCAAGGTGCCAACCAACGCGAGGCGTCCGAGGTTTAACATCTCGAGGAAGTACTGCGATAAACGCTATAGAGTATGTCGCATAGGAATCGGTGTGATTCCGCATGAAAATCGTCTGATGCAAAAAATGAGGTATTGTACCAACGCGAAAAGTAGTCCTTCATTCCCGCCTTGGCATCGCGCACCCAGGCTAGCTGTTCCTCCGCAACCCAAGTTGCTTCTAGCCACCCGAGACCGAACCTTGGATGCAAAATAATGGCGGCCGCAAACAGAGGGGATTCTCCTAGTTTGCTGTAATACTCGTCCAGCTTCTTTCACCCGTTATTTATTGATGTCCGGATAAACGCTCGATAGACTGCTGGCAGGGTGCTCTTCTGCGAGATCTCGGAGGCTGCAGACTTTCCCATTGTGAGATACTCAGTTCGTGAATGCTCTGGCAAAGCCGACTCTGTGAACCTCGACGTTTGGGTCCGCTGTCTGGCTACGTAAATCTCGTCATCATCAAAGCGAGCGGGGAGACGACGCGCACGGTTTGGCCGGCCTCCTGGCGAGTCAGTGGGAATGGACGCTGCTTCAACCGGCTCGAGGTCGACCAAGGTAGCCTGACTCATCGTCTGTATTGTCATCTCCGCGTAAAATGCCTTCCAGTCCTCAAAGTGCTCTAAGAGATATTCCATCCCTACCAACACCTCCCACAGGCGCCCATGGCCGTCAGCTTTGCCCCAGCCCTGGGTCCGCATTTATCTGAAGGTATATTGGCTTGAGAATCGCATTGACTTCACCAAGTACGCGCCAATCCTCATTCGATAATATGTCAGCCGCCGGGATGCGATTTGCCTCATCTTGTTCGCCTTCAAGTGCAAAGAAGAATGCCCGGATGTCCGTCCGCTTCCTCATTTCCTCTCGATCATCATGTATGTGGAGTTCCACCGAGTCTTATTGTTCAGGTTGACCTCCAGTTCCGCAGTAGACTCTTCGTAAAGCCGATATTCCTCATATTCTTCCTCCTGCACAATGCGCTTGAAGTGTTCGCTCCGCTGTGGCGACGATCGGCGGAACTTGACAATGTTATGAAGTTTCCCGATGGGTCCTTTCGCGCGCCAGTGGCTGAGGTCCTGCTCTGCAAGGCCTCGCATGCAATTGATCTCGGATTCGAGTTCGAAGGACTCTGCATCTTTGCCAAAGAGAAAGGCCCGCGCAACAAGATTGAGAATGTGCCCATAACAACGCATCCGGCGTGCCTTGATGTCAGCGGGCCTCATGGATGAGTCCAGCTGCTTGTGCATATAGTGCAGGCAATGATCATTTGCGGCTACGTTGTCAGAGATAACACAGCCGACTCGCCCCCGGATCTTCCAGTCCTGGACGATGCCCACAAGTGACGCAGCAAGGTTCTCTCCGCTATGGGTGCCGAATTGACATCGAAGTGCAAGCAGCCGCGACTGCTGGCGCGCCCCCCGGTCGATGAAGTGTGCGAAGACAGCCACAATCGCAAAACGATTCGACGACGTCCACAGGTCAAAGCTGAGGTGTATCGTCGTCAAAGCATCGCGCAGCTCTGCCTTGATGACATTCCGCTTCGTGTCGAAGAGGTGCTGCAGCTCTCGGGTGATGGAACTGCCACTCCATGGAATCTGCAGCACTAAGTCATGGTCGAACTGGATAAAGAGGCTTCGAAGAAAGCTGTGCTCGAAGATAGTAAATGGCACGTCGCTATCGACTACAAATCCAACGCTCAGCGCTCTGACCTTCGCCTTCAGGATGACGCTTTGTTCGAGCCGACGCCGTTTCGGCATCACGGCCGGATGGAGATCGATGGCGCTGTCATGGCTCGGGCTCGATTCGTTCGACTGGCTGGCTGGCGTGATCCGATGGGTTCTGCGGAAGTCAGCAAGGCTTCGCTTGCCTTCGGGGGGTCTGGGAAGCAGCGGACTTTAGAAGATGATCCGCCGTCGAGGATGTGGCCTGTACAGAGAAGAACTCGGCCTCGCCCTTCAGGTCGCATCGATGGCAGCACCAGAAATGGCCTATTGGCTGATCCTGGTGGTTCAATTCGACGAGGAATGTCCCATGGGATCTGATCCAGCTCTTCCGGCCTTTCGCTCCCTTTCGGGCCAGCGAATCCTCCTGCACGAAACGACGATTTGTACTGGCGATCTTGGGCAAATCCTGAATGGTCGGATTGGCTGGCAATGCTGCATTTGCAGCTATCGCACGGGAGATGAGCAAGTGAGCATAAAGATCAGGGACTGGAAGACTCTTGTTTTTCTATCTAGAGTGGGAAAGGGACTACATCTTTATAAGCGATGCGAATGAGTGTCTAGAAGCTGGTAGAAGGTTCTATAGGGAACGGTGGCGTGGCTGATGAGGATATGAGTCATGATCAGACCGTTGGAGGCTGATGCACCTTGTGTGACAGCAGCCCCTTCGAGCTGTTTGGCCACCGTCCTGGCGTGGGGCAGTCGTGAGGAAGCCGAGGAGAGGTGTGGGGCAAGGCGTTGATATCACCTGCGGAAGACTAGGGGGCGGCGACGGAGCTGGAGAGTCGGACATCTCGCCATCCATGGCAAATGGTATCCGCTGATGAAACGAGGAATACGGCAACGCGACGTGATTTGGGGCGCGTCACGCGTCGCGGGCTCACCAGCGTTAGATAGCGATAGGAGGCACTTATTTTTTTGCGCCGTATCTCCAGCGGCCGCTCATGTCCCGTTGGGGCACAGGACGTGCTGAGCTAGTGGGCTGTCTACAGTCTCCTCTCGCAAACGTAAACAACCACCATCCAGCATTTCATCGGCTCTGAGGCGCTCTGTGTTGAACCTGGTGCCCGTCAGCGGGTTGTACAGGCGCGTAAGAAAGTAAACTAGAGCTGTAGACATCCAGTCTAAGGTAAGCTCCAGCCTGCCTGGACATTTTAAGTGATTTCCATGGTTTTAACTCGGCATGAACATATATCAATTATTTCAACTTGCTAAAATGGGAGAATTGATTTAATTGAGAAGGCCCGTTCAACGAATTGATTGATTTGATTGGGATGATGGCTTGATTGAGTTGATTGATATATGATGAGCGCTGGCTCCATTGGGGGAAGAAAGAGTTGGGGGTGTTGGGTTTCGGATAAACGTCTTACCGTGTCGGCTGCCTGGCAAACTCCGCACCGGGCATGGCTACGCATTTTTAGTGGCTACAAGTAAGAATACAGTTCAGTTCAGTTCAGTTCAGTTCATTTCTCGCCAGGTCTTCAAGTGTTCTCTCGCTTCCAAGTCCGACTCGGGCTAGACCTTACCCGAACGTTTATCGCACCTTTTCCGATATTCAGGAAGGCGCGCCTAATGTGACGGACGGTGACGAAAATCTCTTGGTCCTTTACCGCCCGCCCGCCTTGCCACTCCCGCATCCGAGGCCCTCTTACCATCGTTGACTATTCACCTTATCCTTTGGCAAACATTCCTCGCAAACCACTGCACCATCGCTGCGCACGGCGCTTGCAGTACATATCTGCAGCTTTGAAGCAGATCCTACTCCTTCATCGCTCCACGGCTTATGTGCCAATGCTTCGACTATGGCACTACAAGCGCCCGTGAAGCTTCCTTACTTTCGCGCTGCTGCGGAACTGCCAGGGCCTCTACCTACCCCAGATGAAATCCGCGACGCATCAAAGTCCGAGCTGTCTCCTAGGAGGAGCGCCTGGGGAGACGGCGGTGGCATGTGCCTCGTCAGGGGTGTCTACGTTGTGAAATTCGGCGCCACCGTTACGGAAAATGAGGGGAACGCCCTTCTCTTCGTCGAGAAACATCTCAATATTTCCGCGCCCCGTTTATATGCCATGTACCGTGACCCGCCCTCTGGCCCTCTTTATCTGGTTATGGAGTACATTCGGGGCGTCGACTTGGAGTCGGTCTGGAACTCCCTCTCGGTAGAAGCTAAGTCGTCGATTGCCACGCAGCTGCGGCCTATATTCGCGCAAATGCGTTCATTTAGTCCGCCCCACGACTTTATTGGCGGTGTTTGCGGTGGCAGCATTCCTGACCCAGTCTTTGAGACGGATTGGCCCAATCCAAGTATCAATGGTCCGTTCAGGACCGCGGAAGAGGTCGGTTCGGCGCTAGCCCTCGCATCGCGAAGTAATTGGGAACAAACCGGGCGGCGCGGGTGGACATCCAGCTTCTTTTCCCGGCACCTTGCCACTGCCCTGAAGAACCATGGAGTAAACTTTACTCATGGAGACCTACACATGCGAAACATCCTGGTGGAGAAAGTACTCACAGAACCCAAGCCAGGAGCGCCGGGGTCAAAGCAGCGGAGTCTGACCAGCGATGGCTCTATCACGTCAGAGGTATCGTGGACTGGGAGTCGGCGGGATGGTATCCCGCGTATTGGGAATATGCCTCGGCAGTTGCACGATTTCAATCGGGGAGTGATTGGCCGGAGACTATAGATGCCATCATCAAACCGTACCCGCTAGAGCTTTCGATGTTTCTATTGGTGCTGCAGGACTTGCAATTTATTTAGTCGTTCAATCATTGTTTGTTTGAGTATATGGATCCAGGTCGGCCTTTGTCTTTGCCCTAGACATACAGAAATAGATGACTATTCTCCCATAGCTCAAGTATAGACGAATCCCATAAGTCCCAAGCTACGCGCTGAGCCTATGTCGTCTAGGAGGGAAAGGAGGTTAATAGCTGGACAGATAACGCACAAAGCGCTCAGCTGACACTATCGGGCTTTAGATATGGCGGCCTCGGCTGAGTATATTAAAACCTTGCTGAGCGACAGCAACGAGTATCCTAAAGCTAAGGGAGGAGAGAGGAGGAAAGAAGGAAAAGGGAAATGAACCTTGGAGAGCTCCCGAGCTACCGTTGGTCCCCCCTGCCGGGTCGGATTGGTTGGCCGAGAGTGCAAACCAGGATATCCCCAGGCCCAACCCGTTACTTTAGAGGAGCGGGGGAAGGATATTGCTCTATAGTGAAACCGCGCCTGAGTGGAAACGACTTTTGAAGAAAGGGAGACCGAAAAATTTCACCTATGATACCATGAGGACGCGACAGAGCACAACAGGATAGCAGGGGAGGCGTAGCTATTGTATCGCGGCTTGCCGGAAGAGAAGATTTTCTAGAGGAGCAGGAAGCTTCCGGCAGGAGTATTGTTTAGAATAACTCCTACAACTTCCAACGATGCACTGTGCCTCTTTGCGACGGTAAGTGTTGCTGGCGTGATGCGAACAAAGAGCATCTTGAGCTGGAAGCAGGCCTATTGATGACAATCTTGCAGCATCTAAGAAACGTAATGATCTGGAGATACATCATGGTTTAAGGGTCAGACGAGGCTAGGGTCGTACTCAAACGGCGCCATTTCCGGCAGCCTTGGCGGAAAAGAACTCGAGGATCATCACTCCCGCTCTTGCCATACCCAGACATTAGCCGTCTCGTCCCAGTATCTGTAAAGTCCCACCCCTTCGTCCCAAACCCATTCCGATGACGATGACTGACCCTCAGTGGAGGGGATCTGGTCCTGAATGAGACCGTTCTCCCACAGGGCCGGAATGGCATACCACTCAACCCACTCGGTGCACTTCCAAAGAGGTTGGCGGTCCTCCCCAGGTTCGTAGAAGACGTATTGGTACTCGCCGATTTTCTCCTTGAAGGGCTCGACCCGGCCATGCTTCTTGGGGTTTGAGACCTTCTGTTGGGGTGGAGTGGGCAGCAAGCTGAGGACCGAATTCCACTGTCCCGGGTGGGCGTCGGAGTGGGTGTAACCCAGTAATTCCTGGGAGTGGAAAGACCGCGAGCCCGCCGGATTTTCCGTCTTCTTGCTCTCGTAAGTCATTCCGCCTCTCGAAGTGATATCGCCGATAACATGGTAGAGGGTACCGGACCCGTTCTTCTTGGTTTGGACGAGGATGGCGTGGTGAAGGCGGCCGGGAGGCATATCGGGGTCAGGAAGGGCAATGTTGTATTTGACCTTGTGTACAGGATACCATTTTCGAGCCATGGTGACAGAAGCTATGAAGTTATCTTGGGTTCTACTGTACTTGGCGGTCGATGGCCTTTCTTAACTGAGGGGGAGGCAGAGTCGTCCTTTTATGCCCTGCTGATGGTCGCCTGATGGCAAACTATTGGGTGACGGCCGCAGTCTTGGGCGGGCCACATATGCAGTAGCAAGGATGTCCAGCGCCTACTGAAACGTGCTATACGTTTGCGACCATCAAGCAACTCGGCACCTCCCCACGAACTGTGCGTTGGTTGCTGTTTCTGCGTGGGAGCTGATACTCTGATAGGCAGCCACGAGAGAATGAGTAGCACCAATGAGGGAGAAGAAAAGGAGCCGACGCGGGCTTGCCTGACCACCGGGCGACCGGTTCGCAGGGTCGCGGCAAGGCAGACTACCGTAGGCAGCCGCGCCCGGAATCGAGCAAACGACACGGAAATCGTCCGTGCATGCGTCATCCGTGCACGCGGTACATCCCAGCTCTTTTCAGGATCCAGTTCTGGGCCCCTCTCATAAATCCAACCCGCTACAATGCGGGCACGGTTCGACGCCTTCGCTGCAACCCATAGACCGTTCGTAAGGAACCATGGCAATGATCGGACGCTGTTGGGTAACAAAGCCTTCTTGCCCGCGCCGGCCGCGGACAAGCGTTCATACAGGGGGCTGCAGCTTCACAACATGGAGCTGATGTAGAGTTCCGGCATATACGAGCGCTCAACGTCACAACGAGAGAGGTAGCCGCTAGCCAGAGAATTGAGGGCATGCCGTGAGGCTCTACTGAAGGTGGCGTCGCTGCAGTGTCTCCGGCCGGGCGGACAGCAGCCTCCGATCCGGCGGTGGGGCTTCAACTGCCCGACCTCGACCCTTACGCTGTGGGATATGCCAGTGGAGATAGCTGGGCGTGGTCAGTGGTTTTCAGAGCGAGTCGCGCCGCCTGGGGGGCCGCAGCGGGCCTGACAGGCCTGACGTTCGCGAGGCACGCCAGGAGCTCGACAAGCTGCGACCGTGGGTGGGTGTCACAGAGCAGATCCTCGCTTCGGAGAGAACAGACGGTTCTGGTGGATAACAGGCTGAGTGCGCTGGAGAAGGCGAAGGGCTGGTGACGGGATGCGGGCAGCGACGACCCTGCTATTGCAGTAGCGCATTTGAAAAAAAAGCCCACCAAAAACCATCATTTTCACTTCCACCGATTTCAGCCAACTTTGAAGATATTCGAAAGCAACCGTTCTGTCAATGCAATCATATTTTGCCCTCTTGGTGATTAGGGCTTTCCTTAGCTTATGGCGCCGAGAACAGCTCGCAGTCCCAGGACTGGCCGACAGATTGCATCAGATCTTAAAGATGGAATGGGGGATTCTCTGCATTTAGATAACTAGAAGTAAAGCAAGTTCCTGTCCGCTAATCTCTCTTTCCTCGCCTCGGTCTTAAGTACAATTACGCAGCATATGCATGGAAAGCATTGGGGGGTGGCGAAGCTCACGGGAAATGGATCATTGTAACAAGGGAGGGCTGCCCTGGCGGCGTCCATATTGAGAACGAATGTGACCTCTGCGTAGCTACTACATTTACGGTTAAATACGCACTCGATAAGAGATCTGAGGCTCGTAATTCAATTTTTTTGCCATGGCTCACCATTGCTTGGCCAGGTGACTTCGTTATGTCCTTGGCATTTCGAGCAGATTTTGGTATAGCACGGGCCGAAGTATCGGCATGGAATCGCTTATTCTATACATCAGAATCAACTAATGCTTCATTATCAGGCGCAACCATGGACATAAAATTGGCCAAATCTCAGTGAAGAAATTAGCCGCCAAATATTACCCTATCATAGTTCCCGCGAGATCAACGTCGAAAAAGGCGCACCATAAGCGCTGCCCCAGACCCAGAAGGTCATGGGGGACGATCCAGTTGGTATGGCATGAGTGGTCTCAACGAGTTTACCGTCCATGCCGAATCAGGGGTTGAAATCCACTCCACTCAATCCACTGGCAGCTCGAGCGGAGTGGGTGGACTACAATCCACTGAATGCCTCAGTGTAGTGGATTCAGTGGATCCACTGGGAGCCATGGTGGATTGCGTGGATTGAGTGGATTGGCAAGTGCCTTCATTCGAAATGCAGCTTGAAGCTTTCCTGAGAGACTAGCGTCTCTGAGAGCAGGAACCACTTCTGCCTTTGCATGGCCTGCATAACCTTATGCATCCCTAAGCGAGATGATCTCCAGCTGAATTCTGCCTCCTCCAGAGCGCTAGCCACCCGTGTAAGCCACTTTGTCGCCCACTCTTCAACCTCTTGATCTGACATCTGGGCCAGCTCGAGATTATTCGTCTCTTCTTCAACTGAGATGAAGAAGGGGTCTAAATCTTGGATGATGCCCGCCCGCAGCCACGAACGTAATACCTGGCACATGCCAATCGTCTGCGCCTCGAGTCGATTCCGGAGAGGGTTGACCATTCTGCCTGCTGCGGAAAAAAGGCGCTCGCATTCGGCGGACATTGGCTGTATGGTCAGGAAGTCGAGTGCCATTCGCGACAGATTCGGATATTTGTGTCGCTTGTTATGCCAGTATGCAATGGGATCGTCAACTGAGCCGTCGCCAGCTTCACAGTGCGTTATCCAGTGCAGGTATTCATCCTGGCCGGGCGCGAGTCCGTCTTGGTCTGCAGCTGGAGCCGCATAGCGGTTTCGTTCCAGAAATTCTTGGAACGGATTGCCAGAAAGTCTTCGCCGTTTTACCACGAGTTCTGTCCCCGGCGCCACTTCATCCGGAAGAGTAACCTCTCGATACTCAGCACGCCAGACATCATGCACGATCCTCTGTGCCTCGTCAATCCAGTCTGGCCGATTACCCCAGTTGCGTTCGAACCATTTCCATCGGTACGCTGGATGAAGGGCCAAACTGGTGTAGTAGATAGGAGTGTCGCTCAATGTGCTGTAGTAGTCATTTAACTTCTGCCAACCAAGATTGATGTTGATCCTGAGATGTTCGGGATCGGGAAAATTTTCTGCCACGTCTTTGCAGTGTTCGAGTTGTCCCAGGAGGAATTCAAAGCCTTGAACGACATCCCATACGTTGCCATATGATCCCATCCATCCGTGCTTCCGCTTTCGAATTTGACCATCACCTTCGAGCATTCTGATCGTGGCTTCGTAAAAAGTGAGAATTTGGTCAAATATCTCAAGTACCTCCCAATCCTTATCGGTGAGCTGACTCTCGGGCTGGCAAATGAAAGGCAGCCTGGTAGGTCTTCTCAGACCCCCCCTCTTACTCTTGTTTTGCTGTTCAAACTCGATGCGATGATGCGCGATGAGTCGCTCAACGTTATCGCGTAGTAGAAGGGCCCGCCTTATCATATACAGCTGGGAAAGCCACCTGGTATCGTTATCTAGGATCACATCCATCGGCTTTCTCGTGTTCAGCTTGGGATCAGATGATTTGGCGAATGCCTCTCTTTGGATGCTGCGAAGCATGTTGGTCAACAAGTCTGATCTGTGGATTGATACCACGAGATTATGCAATTTGCCCACTGGCCCTTTCTTGCGCCAAAGCAGATGCTCGGCTTCGGTGAGAGGCTCTGCACCTGACAACCGACGCTCAAAGGCATCGGCATCATGGCCAAAAGGAATGGCCTTGGCGGAAAGGTTCAAGATATGTCCGAAGCAGCGCCCTCGCCTGGCTTTGCCAACAAATCCCAGCTCTCCACCAATAATCTCCAAGGCAGTGTCATTGTTTGGCGCATTGTCAAGAGTAAAATAACCAATCTTGTCTTCAATCTGATACGATTCGATGACATCCAGGATCTCTGCCACAATATTCGGGCCGGTGTGTCGAGCGCTAACTTCGGGAACTCCGATTGTGATCTTACAGGGTTTGTTATCCTCGGTCCTGAAAAAGCAATAGATATTATACAGCGCATGCCGGTTCCCAGACCTCCAGCCGTCAAAAGAAATGTGGATTAAGCCAGGAGCCTTGCGAAGGACGTCTATGACCTTGTGTCTGTGCTCTTCGAACGCGACCATGATCTTCTTCCGAGCTGTTGTGTGGGTCATGTTGGCATTGCGACCCGAGACAGATGGGTTCAAGTACTCAAAGATGGCGTGAAGATCGGTTTCTTCCGCGGTGGAGAAAGAATGGTTCTTGGCTACGATCCAATTCACAAGGACTCTGCGGAAGTGTTCTTTGTCAAACGTTTGATGAAGCAGTTCGCGATGGCTTGTTCTCGAGGGTCATGTAGGTCAAGTTTCATGGACTCCGCGAGAGTTTTCTGTCCCACGGGCCTCCTGCGTTTCGACGTCTTCTTTTCAGCGGTACCCTGGGTCTTCCCAGGCGGGGCGCCAATCCCATGATCGTTGAATAGATAGTTGTACACATTATGAATGCCATCGGCTTCGAAATTGCGTGGACGTGGCGCGTTCTTGCGTATGCAAGCCTGGCACACCCATCTGCGATCGCCTTGTTTCTGGATGTCATACTGAATTGCCATGCCCAGCAACGCGTCTCTCTGACTCGCTCGGAGAAAAGCCATCCGGGGAAATGGCTCCATAGTGTGCGTTCGTACTGTTCGTCGTGGGCGAGATGGGTTGCCATGCCCGTCGAAGGAGACGGCTTGCAAGGAGGAAGGGGTGGCGAAGAGGGCGTTGGACCAGGCGCTGGCTCGAGACCCATTCCGGCTATCTCGCTGTCGCTGTCGGATGAACTGACGGAAGGGCACGAAGTCATGTTGGCGGGATGGAAATGAGTTATGGGGGTTTTCTAGTGGAAACGATTTAGAGTAGAAGGTTGGAAGGCTGGATATCCCCCAGTATGTCAACGGCGTTGCACTAAGTACGCGGTTCGGTCTACCCGCGATGTAAACCTCGAGGACTAGGTACGGGTTTACGAGCTTCGCGCGCGACGCGAGGCGCGCTTGCAAAATTTAAAGTCGAGAGTACGGTACTCCATCAGCAAGCCAACTCAATAGACGTCGCAAATAGCGAATGGTATCGTTGAATACATGACCGGCATCGCGAAAAGCCTCAAAACGCGTATCTGACGCGTGAATGCCAATAGACTACGCTTTTTTGGATGGACGGGGAAGGCGAGTCACATCGTGTATGAGTTTAGTTGACGTCACGGACATCATTTGAAAGCGTAGGCTTTGTGCTTGCTAAGGGAGAGTGTGGATAGATATCGATAAATGGCGACCCTACGTAGGCAAGGATTCGCAAAGAAAAATGAACGATGCATAGCTTCCTGACGAGTTTTGACTCAACACAAATTCGAAGAAACAAAGTCATTTCACTCATACAAGTGTCGTAAGTGGCATTCAACGGTCCTGCCGTGCAACCTATAACCTATAATTATTTAACGTCCGAAGAGCGTGTAGCTGAAGCCCCTATTGGGGCAAAGGACGTGCTAGGCTGACGAATTTATTGTACAAAGCCGCCCGACTTCATCTCAAAACAACATCATCTAGCATCTCAACGGCTCAAAGGCGCTGTTTCGTCTGAGCCTCGCACCCGTCCGCGGGGTGTAGAGTTGCATGCGACCTGAAGTCGCAATCGGCGCCCATCATTCGCGATGAGCCTGGAAAGGGTTTCCGCTCAGGCTGTCGCTTTCTGCGAGCCTTGCTTGAGTGGGAGGCCCCGGCCGGGTGAAGTGACCGTGGACTTAAGAAACACAAAACAAAAGGGAGAAAAAGGAGTGAGTTCCGTCTAATGGCGCGGGCAGATCCTTTGGAAGAAGGAGCATTCCGATGTCATCGCGACGAAGGCTTTGAAGCCCTTGCCTACCGCATGGTGTATCGCTTCGGCCGGTGAGGGGATCAGCCTCATCCGGAGCCGAGGCGGTATCTTTCTGCAGTAGAAGGGGTGTTCTGGCGTCTTGCGTCGTCCGCATGAGCAGTCCAGACTCGCATCGTCATGGTCGAAACGCTCGTGGTAGTCGGAGAAGTCTCCGTGCCGAGATCTTGCGGCAAGAAGGTTGTGGAGCGTCGCTCTTGACAGCGTGAGCTCCAGAGGGCAACTTGTGGTGGCTTCGAGGTCTAGAGGTCTGTATGACACTGGCGCCTCGACGGCCCACCATGTGTGGAAAGCGTCTTTCGGTTGTTGCCTGGCCAGTCTGCGCAGGTGTGCCAGGGATGGCATGGCCCCTGGTGGTTCGGGTTGCAAGCATCCTGCTTTGGCGAGGCCGTCGGCCTCGTCATTGCTCGGTATGTTGGCATGACCTGGGATCCAGCGGATCTGCACGTCTCCGTGTGCCCTTGTCAGGCCCTGAAATTCGGTAAACTTGTCCTGCGATGAATCGGCTGGATTGCCTTGCAGACAAGTGGCCACTGCTAGGTTATCAGTGCAGACTATGATGCTGCTTGTCGCAGTCTCGGCCAGGCGGATAGCGGCTCGCAGGCCCTCTAGGGCCCCGGTTGCCTCCGCGTCAAAGACTTCGGCCGGACCTAGCCGGCCCGATCCCTGGGATAGCGGTTGGCTATTTTGGTGGATTGCAAAGCCGTATCCTACGGATCCGTTTGGCAGTTGCGACCCATCGGAGTATACAACAAGCGTTCCCGCAGGGGCGGTTCTGAGCCATTTGAGGAACTCCTCGGCAGTTTCGGCTTTCCTTGCTGTCTGAAGCGGGCTGGCTTCAGTGTCGAAGTAGCGTCGTGGTAGAAGCGCTGGGCGAGGGCATATTGGGAGGAGCTGATCAGTGCGTTCGAGCCTGGACTTATAGCCTCGCGGCTTGATGAAGAACATGCGTTTGATAGAATTGTGGATCGTCATGGAAGACTCCGGTGAGACCCTTTTGACTAGGGGGTGGCGTACGTCAAAGGACTTCAAGCGGGCTGAGAAGCGAATCCTCTGAGCATGAGTAAGACAGACGCAGGCGGGATCCCGCTTCACGATGTAAGGCCGGGGATGGCGTCGTTTTCCAGACGGGAAGGGCCGCTCGGATGGCGTGTCTCAAGACCGCGTCTAGGCGAAGCACGAGACGCTGTATCTTGGTGGACACAAGACGGGTCAGGTTCGCGGTGCTTGGGGCCGTATGGCCGGGGTACCACGCTTCGGCGCCGTACGGAAGGATGGGTTCGACGCAGGCCTTGACGGCCCTTCAAACTGAACGGGGGAGAGGTCCTTGTTTGGTATTATCAAGGGCTTTAAGATGGTTGGCTACCCGTCGAGCTTTGGCTGCCCACTCTTCTACGTGGGTCTTGAACGAAAGCTTCCGGTCAAGCCAGAGGCCGAGCCAGCGTAAGGAGCCCTCCGGGCGACCTCAACGCCGCCGTGCCTGATCGACGGTCGGGAGATGTCCTTCTTGCGAGAGAAGTGCATTATTTCAGTTTTGTCCGGGTCGAACGTTACAGCGTTGGACGCACCCCAGGTCAACAGTTCTTTCATATCGCGAGAGGCGAGCGTAGTCGTTTCCTCCAGCGACCACCCGGTACGTAGCATCGCTGTATCATCTGCGTAGCCGAAGCGACAGCCAGAACTTCCAAGGCGATAGATTGGGGCGATGTACAAAGCGAACAGGATCGGTGATGCCGGGGAGCCTTGTGCCAGGCCGCATTTGAGGGGCGACGCTGGCGTCGTGACGTCCTGGAACCGTACGGCGGCCGAGCGGTCCTGCATAAATGAGCCGGCCCACTTCACGAGGTTAGGTGGCCATCCTTGCTGCCTAAGTCGGAGGATGAGCCTGTTGCGCATGACAGTGTCGAAGGCACCTTGTACGTCCATAGTGACTAGCGTAGCGACCTTGCCGCGGGACAGGGCCACCTCGATATCGTGTACGAGCGGCAACTAAGTCGACTGCGGACCTTTTCGGGAGAGCACCAATTTGCTGAGGTGCAGGACACTGTAGTGTATCGAGGCCCAGGCTAGGCGGCGCACGATTAGCCTTTCGAGACCTTTGCCAAGACAGGAGAGTAGAGATATTGGCCGCCAGGCGCGGGTCTTGGAAAGGTCCCGCTTCCCTGGCTTCTCGATCATGACCACTTCTGCCTCTTTGAACTTCCGAGGATGGTAGCCGACTGAAAGGCATCCCTGATATAGGCGCTGTATATGGCCACTCAGGACAGGCCACGCTGTCCTGAGTAGGCGCACCGTGATATTGTCCGATCCTGGTGACGTATTGCGTGTTCGAAGTAGAGCGTCCTGCACTTCTTCGATCGGCACCTCTGACAGGAACGGGATGGGTGTGGTGACATCTACCGGTATCCAAGGATCGGGAATGTCATCCTCCGCAGTTCTTCGCTCGAGTGGCGCGTCGTAGAGCTTCGGCCTTGCCGGCCTGTGTCTCGACGATCGTCTCGCCCACCAGCAGAGGCGGCGGGCGGAATACCCCAGGACTTTTCAGCCAGCGTGTGATCTTAAAAATGTCCGAATCGTCTTGCACCCCGTCGATGAGGTTGCGCCAGTATGCCCTTTTGGCCCGTCGAACAACGCGCCTTAAGTCTCGACGGGCAAGTTGCACGTCGCGGTTGAACCCGAGGGGGAAGGCGCGTCTCACGCATCGGTGTTCAGCCACGGCGGCTATGCACTCGTCGTTCCACCAAGGAGCTCTTCGAGGTTGACGCTGGGATCGCCTACCAGCCGCGCGGGCCGCGGTTTGGATAAGGTCTATGATTGCGTTTGCGAGCGTATCGAGATCCTCCGTTGCCGACGCCGCTGCGGGAATGGTCGCTAGTCCAGCTTCGACGAGTTCTGCATACCGTTTAAGCTCTTCGTCGCTTGCAAGCAGAATTTTTCCTTGTGGTACGGTGGCTGGCGTTAGGGCCGGGAGAGAGATGCTAAGGGTGAAGTGGTCAGAGCTTGTGGCGAGATGATCTTCCACGGTCGCTTCAGCAAGAGCGATATTCGAGAAGCCTAGGTCGATTGCGTTTCCATGGACGTTGGTGTGTGTATTGATTGGATTGAGGAGTGAAAGGTCGTTTTCCGACGCCCAAGTAGCTATGCTGCTACCGTGACCGCGGGAGGGTCCGACCTGCCAGGAGTGGTGCCGAGCGTTGAAGTCTCCCGCTATAATGCACTGCCTTGCTATCGGCCACGCAAACAGAATATCAAGAGCGGCATCGAAAGAAGGCTCCCGATAGATGTTAACCACTGTTACGCCGTTGACCATGAGCCAAAGGATGTCTCGGGTCGCGGCCGGGCGTTGTTGATCAGCTAAGAGTCTTGCGCCTCGTCGTATATAAGTCATGACGCGCGGTCGTGTGTCGTTGTCCTCCCAGTCGTTGACCGGCGTGTAGGTATCATAGGCGGGGTGGGTTTTTGTGAGGCAGCGTGAACCCCGAACCTGGGTCCAAGGCTCTTGCAAGAGTACGACGCCATATCGTTCGGCATCTCTGCAATGGGTTCAATTGGATCCGCAGATGGCTCGGTGCTCTCCCACCGTGCAACTTTATTATTATTATTATTGTATTTTCCGTCCAGCGACCTTTAGGTCGCTCAGGTCCCCGAGACGGGGCACAGGACGTGCTGAGCTGCTGGAAGTCTAGTATCGCGGAGTAGGCCCACAATACGCGAAACGAAACGAGAACCAATCCGCGTCTTCTGCCCCTTCCACAGAACGTAAACAATCCACCATTCAGCATTTCATCGGCTCAAAGGCGCTTCTTTGCTCAGCCTGCTGCCCGTCAGCGGGACGTTCAGGCGCGACAGCCTTGTCTTTCGTTTTGGCCTCACAGGGCCGGTTCCGGAGAGCACCCTCCGCCCGGCCGAGTCGGGAAAGAGAAAATGGGTGTGTGTGCAAACAAAGGGGAAGGGAAGGAGGGAAAGCGGTTGCTGCCGCCTAGTGGCGGGGGCAGATCGTTCCAAAGAACGAGCTTGCCTTCGCCACCTTGACGAACTGGTCGAAGTCTCTGCCTATTGCTCGGTTGACCGCCGCGCTCGGTGAGGGTGCCAGCCTCATCCGATGCCGCGGCTCGATCTTCCGGCAATAGAAGAGATGTTTGGTTCTTTCGTCGACCACATGAGCACGTCAGTCGCGCATCGTCGTGGTTCAACCTTTCGTGGTAATCAGCGAAGTCCCCGTGGTGGGTTCTTGCTGCGAGCAGATGGTGGAGCAGAGGTCGTGGAATGGTAAGTTCTGGCGGGCAGCCAGTCGTGGCATCGAGGTCGAGGACCCTGTACTGTTGGGGTGCAGAAACTTCCCACCAGGCTTTGAATGCGTCTTTTGGTCGCTGCCTAGCGACCTTGCGCAGATATGCCCCACCATGGGGAAACTGACGAATAGGAAACGCTTTGCGAGGCCACTATAAGCCACAACCGGGCCGATCCGCGGCCTGTGTTACAATGTGCAGCTGAGCCTGTCCCCAGGAAACAGGGACCCTAAGGTCGAAAAGAGTAGCATTCTCGACACACCTGCGCCGCATTCATGGGCGGCAAAGTGCGGACAGACGACAGGTCAATACTGGCGACGTGCAACGGCGGGGTTGTCCCTGGAGCAGCGGGTCCAGTGCGGCCAGAAGAGTACAAGAGCCCCTGGGACTGACCGACCAATCCATCTAAAGGCTACAACCGTCCCCAATGAATGCGATGCCTCGCGCGGCCAAGACACGCCAGTTTGCGACCAGTGTCTCCTTGTCCAGTTGGGGATGCTTTCCAGCAAACAATGACACTGAAAGGCAAGAAAGCAGCCTTTTCTCTAGACTGGGTTCGCGGGGGTTTCATGATCATATTTTTGACATTCCTTGAGGTGATGCGTCGGCGATTTGACAGCCTTCCGTAAAGCCCTTGCACGTCGAAAACTGATTACCTTCAATCGGGGGTGCGGGAATAGCAGTCCCGCGGCGGCAAGAAGTGGATAATAGCTGCTGTGACTTATCCAAAACCCTAAACTCACGCAGCCAGAAGCGCAATGCTCGGATGTGTTCTTTTGAAGCTCAAGCTCCATCGTCCAGTTGGTGGCAGCGGCGACTCTCTCCTCGGGGTACTGTAGGCGCCTCTTGAGTAGTTTGTCCACTCCCGATGTGCAGATCGCTTGATGTCGGGTGAGTGCGCAGTCCGGAAGGGAGCCCGAGAATAGAGTAGGCCTGAAATCTGCTATCCACCTACAGGGTTCCCTCCCTGGGAGGGCCTAAGAGGCCAATGGCCTCCTAGGCAGACAACAGCCAGAAGTGAGAATGCCCTATTTGCTCCTTCCACCTTAAGTTCCGACTTCAGGCTCTGGAGCCATGAAGACCCGCATTCTACCCATGGTCGGGCGACACATCGTTTCAGCTTCGAAAACAAGGAGCTGTGGAGACCCGTTGGATACCCTGCCATGCCAATATTCCAGGTAACGAGGAGGCAGATGCTCTGGCAAAGGCAGGCACTCCTCTGCCAGAACCTGCGGACGCTTTTCCAACACTTGCAAACCTGCGCAAGATTGCACGGCAGCGGCCGAAAAAGGCTTTCAAGGTTTGGTGGGAAGCCTCTGCGCCCGAACGATACAAAGATCTAGGCCTCAAGGCTACAACCGGCTGCCCGCCTGAATTGGCGCTTTCTCGGCCCTCGCTCCATCATTTCCTTGCAGCAAGAACCCATCACGGGGATTTTGCTGACTACTACGAAAGGTTCAATCACGACGACGCGCGACTGACCTACTCATGCGGACGACGGAAAGACCCAACGCATGTCTTCTATTGTAGGAAGATTCCGTCACGCCACCGGCTGCGGCTTGCGCCCTCGCCGGCCGCAGCTGTCAATCGGGCGCTAGGCGAAGACTTTGTACGCTTCATCAAGCTTGCGAAGCAACCTCCTTCTTCAGAGGGATTGGCCCACGCAACTAGGCGCTCATTCCCCTTCCGCCCTGACCTTCTCCTTCCTTTTGCCCTTCCTCTCGTTTCCTCGGCCTAAGACGGGCGCAGAGATCCTGCGACATGCGTCCGCCCGGGTCACCAGGGCTCCGAAGTGCTAGAAAACAATCGGTTGAACTGAATTAGAAGACAGCCCGCGAGCTGACGGGTAGCAGGCTTGTAACGAGCGCCTCACTAGCTCAGCACGTCCTGTGTTCACCCTACCGCGACAAACGTGGCGGATAGGTGTACCGAGCACGGAAACAAGTGCGCTACTTCCACGACACCGCACTTGGAGTGGCGGCGTTCTGTTTACATTGCCTCGAAGCCCTCGCAGTCGTGACCCCAGATCATGACGTTATAGGGCCTACGGTCAATAACGACTCGTTGGAAAAAAGGGCCACCATGCAGCACGGCGAATGTAGCGCTTGCAAAGACACTGCCGTGACTTGTATACCAACATCATCATAGTATTGTGTTATACAGTTTCTGATCTCTCCATCAATGGGCAGTCATTGGCTTCATGCGCGTGTCAACGACGAAATAAAACACAAGGTGAATGTCTCGGCACCTAACCGTCTGCCGCACGGTCGCATTAAGAACATGCACCTCATCCCGCGACTAGCTTAGGTATAGCATGGCAACACTATTATGTCGTCATGGATTCGCGCACAGCGGAAACGCATCGGCCAGCCAATACTCCTCCAGACGTAACTGACCACCTGCCCGCCGAAGAGCGACCAATATTTCGAAATCGTTTGCGGGAAGGACGATGATGGTATTCAATCCAGACTCTATTGCCGCCTCAAAATACTTCTCGTCCGTAATGGGTTGCAACGTAACCGAGAAGAGCTTCATCCCTCGCCCTTACCAAGGCCCTTGCTGTAGCTGCTACCGCACGAGGGTCCCCTGCGTCGACTCGTGTGACTGTGAAGGAATCTGCTCTCCTTAAAAGTCTTG